ACGTAGATGGTTTGTATGAATGTTCGGATAATCAAACAATAAATGAAAGCAACATTTTCTGGAATTATTTGCGCATTTGCTGCGATTAGAATGTCCCAAAAAGATGTATACATATTACATTACGGAATTATCGACATGCTTCAAGAACCCATTGTTCCCGCTGTTTGTCAGCTGTATGGAGGTGAGGACTTGTGGTATCAACAAGATCACATTACCATCGTGACATCAGGACCTGCTTGACAACACTTTTCCCTGCTGATGGATAGGACGCAGAGGACCCGTTGTCCTCACGATCGCCATATTTAACTCCATCTGACTTCTTCTTGCGGGGTTGCTTGAAAGACGCATTGTGCAGCCAAAGATATCAACGCCTCAAGAGCTCTGGCAAGAGTGAAAGGTCTTGTTTAACCCTTCCAGCTGCAACTTTGGTGGCCGCTTGTCAGTCATTTGTTCACAGCTTCAACTGTGTCACCATACTAACGGTGGTCATTTTGAACACCTAAACTAGATTAGTTAATTCACTAAGTGTATACATCTTTTTGGGACATGCTGTATATTTGAATATGTTACAGGGCGGATATTATGCCCATATATGATTCTTTGTATCGACGTTGAATTGACATGACTGTAAGTTTTATGGTTCCATCTTGACTTTTAAAGACCCTTGACGTCTCTGTGGACAAATTACAATAATCTTTTCTTTTGGTCGATTTTATTCCTTCAAATTTTAAAGTATCTAACCAAGAAACATGGTTATACAGTTTGTGAAAGTAAATTAATTTAAGAGCTTTTAATTCTTGACAAGTGCTGTACTCCCATTTCAGGCTAAAAAGCGCTTTTATTTGAAACGTAAATGCTGAAAATGTAGGATATCTATCTATGGATTATATAGACTAATAATTTAAAGTAATAGTTTGTCAAATGTGTTTGTTTATCAGTAATACATTTTCAAATAATTATTTGTATAGAAAAACATTTACTCAATTAGTAACTTAGCTCTAAAGAAGACGTTGATTTCTGTTTGCAGTGAAACTGGTGTGGATCTGTGCCAGGGTGGCAGCAAGAGGTACTTTTCCTGTAACATCCAGGTTGGTGAAGGACTCTTGAATAAACCTTTTATGTATGTACATCTCGTGGGATGGCCTCTTTGCACTACAATTAAATTAAACGTTTCCGCAATAGGGAATTTGATAGAGGCTTGCTTTGGTACCCGTAAATTATTTGATTTTCGATCATTCTGTGTTTTTATTTACAATCTTCTGGCAGATTTTGACAAACCTTGATGTGCCCGTAAAATTTCCTGTAAATAAATAATAATCAGATTGTATGTTAACAAGTTTGAAATTAGTTAAAACGGTTATGTGAAAAGATTAAAAAATTTAAGAAATTTATTATTATTATTTTGTGCAGCTTGACGAGTCCCTGTATGGAACTGTTTTGGAATTTGAAACTCCCGGATACGAAGATAATTAATATTTAATCAGTTATTCCTGTGTTATTCAAATCGCTTTTTTAAGTACTGAATGGCACTGGGATACGATCGTGGTAGATGAGCATAGTTTAACTGGGAAAGAGGTGCGTAGGCTACTTATCCTGACATCTCTTCACGTGGAAGTACTGAGAAGAACTGCGAAAGAGTCTCGGGATAGGCACTATCGTGACCGACGTTCAAACTGGATACCCCCGGGATTTGAGTCGGAAACGTTTTGGTTGAGATCATTGGACACATGGCTCTTTCTCGACGAGAGACATGGGCGTACGTGCGGCTTCAATCAGCACCACCAACCACTCGACACATGCGCCTGCTTGGTTCGTTGTACTTTCATATCTTCCGTTCCTTTTTTACGTGTTGGGATGTTGTATTTGATTTACTGCGAACGTCTGAACCTGACTGTCATAGCTTTAATTCCCATGATGAAAACGAAAGACTTAAAGTTCGAAAGCCATTGCACAAAAACGCAAGGGATGTCCTAGTGCTGCTAGGTTTCTGAGAAACGGAACAATGCTTACAGATTTCCATGACTCACCCACCTATACTTAACTAAAACCTTTTTTGTATTGTTTAACTACACACATAATTTCGCCTATTTATGTTTTCCCCATAGGCCATTAACCCAATTTAATTTTTTTATTTTTCATTAAACTGGTTTGCAGCACCATTTACAAAGCAACTGATTGTAGTCAACTGACTATAAAATAAAATTGGAGCTGGTAATTTTAGTCTTCCTGGAACATAACGTCATCAGCACGAAAAAAATTATTTCGTCTGCCCTTTATTCTCCGTTTCTCTGTCTCTGCACAGGTTGCCAGTTGAACATAACGTTTTATAGCGTAATGCATAGATAACTAAATATCCAATGCTGTTTTCATTCTGTTTTCTAGTGCGTAAGTTGATAACTACGATTCAAATCTCAGGATTCTACAGGAAAGCTGATGTCACCGGTATCCAGGGATTCCATCCGCTCTGCGTTGCCTTATTTTTTAAGACATGAACGACAGTGATCGTGATCGATGCAGTGACATACTGCGCAACAAATAGAAGCCACCAATCTGCTTATAACGCCCTCGAGACTGCTTTTAAAAGCTGTTTTCTTGATCCATGATAATGTCCGCCTTCATGCAGTTGCTCGGACAGCCAAAGACATCGAAAACATTAAATTTGAAAAACTTCCTGCATCCGCCGTACGTTTCCGACTCTATCTTTTTTTGAGCTACTGTAGCCGCGCGGTCTGAGGCATCATGCTTGGGACCGGCGATACGGAATGCGCGCTGGTTCGAGTCTCGGGGGAGAAGAAATTTTCTCATGAGATTTTCGACCAGTGTATGGGACCGGTGCCAACCCAGCATCGTGAGGAAATTGGGGAGCTACAATGGGTAGCGTGATCCGGTCAGGAAAGCTAGCAATGGCTGGGGGTTCGTCGTGCTGACCACATGTCACCCTATATCTGGTTGGATGATCGTTCACCTCTGCTTAGGCATGTGAACGTGAGGCCATCAGTCAAGCTAGTCGGCTTAGGCTCTCTGGAGCTGTTACGACACGGATTTAATTTAATTTTTCAATTTAAATGTAATTTGTAGTAATAATTATGATGGCAATGAAAGGAAAAAAGTTGTACAAAAATGGCGTAAGACTACCGATGTTTTATTGTAAAGGCAACTGTAAACGGTTGTACCGCTTGATAAAGTGCACTTAAACGATGAAGATTACGTAAACAATAAAACAGACTTGTTGGTTGTTTGTTCAAAGGTGTAATAAGTCTAAAATTGCCTTTAATTTTCTATTTATTTGCGTATATTGGTTTATAATGAGAAGCATGAGATTTGAGGTTTTCATGGCGACGAGGATCAAAATGGCTGTCCTGTGGGATGTAGGACCGTGTAATCTGGTAGATAATGACCGACATTTGAGAGGAGCTTCCTGACACCATCATGCCAAAAGACAGATATCTCCGATAAACGTCGTCGTCACCACCACCACCATCGTTAACATAATGATCATCATCATAAGCTGCATCTTGAGAGCATGTGAAATCACTCAATTTATCGACTTTACCGGCTTCTCGCCAAGGAGACCCGGATTCAATTTCGAGTGACTTCAAGTGAGGTTCGTGATGAACGAAGAAACAGTGGAGTTCGTCGGTGTTCATTCCTTCATATCTCCCAACGAGGTGTGCGATAGCCCGACTAAGCAGCGCTGTATTATAACCTCGATCCGCATTTAAGAGGCTTCAACTCTGACCGGCACTTGGCTGGTCTAGGTGTAAGGTAGTTTGGTTCTTAGGTTTTAGAAGCAGAACACAAATGTGGCAGGACGAGGAGTGTGGTCGATCAAGAAGAGAACACGCAAGCCTTTAACTGAGAGCGTCATTGCCACTTGGCTAATAATACAGATACGAACTGTTTTTTTTCTTCTGATTTACGCACAGTTACTCTAAACCAGATATATGGGTCCATTTGCTGAAAGCACCCCTTGTTGATGTGAATGCGACTGTCTTCTGGCTTGTATAACCAACTGACCAGTAGACCTACTGCCTAGAATCACAACCGCATTTATGAACTGCAGGATGGTAACTCAGTCTGGCCATATCTCTTAAGTACAAGAAACGTGGTTTAATCCGAATGAGGAAAATAGGATTTTAACTTCTTTACTATTAAGTATGATATATTGCCTACAATCAAAACTACATTGTTTTGACATGCGCAGGCTTGCTATATTAAGTTGCGAACCTTGATAAATGTTATATTTCCACTCGGTTGTCCAACTAAAGCCGACATTTAGCATTGTGCACCCATCTTGTTGGATCGCCTGCTCCGCGAATTCGTCTGTTCGCCTTCATTAAGTGAGCCAGCTTTATGGTCACATTAATTCGGAAATGTTAATATAATTTCATGCTACATTATTAACAACATTACCTTCGGCTATAATTTAACATTAAAGAAGGCTTTTGGGCTCTCTTTGATCAATTTAATCTAACAAAGACGAGTCGGTCGTGTTCTTGGCGGCGTGAATGCGAGTAAAACTAAATATTAGGCGGGAGCCGAGAGGGTTGCAGCCCTGGCTCAGCAAGGAACCCCAACCAAGTACCAGGCCAGATCTTTGTAATTAATCTGAAATGAGAAACAAATTCAAAATGTCTAAATTACCTGCTTCCAAAAGGGGTCTTCTAAATGTAATGAGCCTCGCGGCACCGAAAGACTTAATGGGACCTTTAAAAAACATAATTTATTCCGTATGTTTGATACAGAAGTATGGTTCAGGTAGCATCCAGTGTGGTTCAGGAAAGCAGTTGCTCAAATCGTACCACAGCAGGGGTGTAGGAAATTGCCGTAGAAACATACATTTTTATTTATTTTAAAAAATTAAAAAGATGCCTGATATATTGATTGATGTTTTACATAAAAAAGAAGTTGGAAATACTTGTAATTTGGCTTTAGCAAGGAACGACTTTTAAGCGGTACGATTTAAACAACCTTCCCTTACTTGCCACAAGGATTTTAAGACTTAAAAAGCAACTTGAGCATCCGTGAATTACAGAAAATGTGAAAATCAGGGACAACTCTTTAGGTGCCACCACTACTCGCGCGACTTCTAACAATCTGCACTGGATGCCAAGTATTGATAACAAAATGAGCTTTAGGGCATTAGATGAGACAACATAGAAGACATACGAGTTAAATGTCTGTTTATACTGCAGAGTTTCATCTACTCATTAGAGTAATATTACTGGGTATGTAACCAATTTCTCTGTTGTAGGATTGCCCCGAAGTTTCAACAGACTTCCGAGCAGAGCAATGTGCCGAATTTAATGCAATTCCGTTTGAAGGAAGATATTACAAGTAAGCAAAGCTACGTGTCTGATATTATATATCTTTGTTTTCTTGTGTGTGTGTTAGAAGTTTATTGTGAACTTAATTACAGGAAGTTTCGATTTATTTTTGACTGTATGATATAGGATTTTAGTGGATAATATTAAGATGGAAAGAAATAGAGTGTGATGATGTGGACTGTATTGAACTGCCTCAGGAAGTGTCCTGTAATAGGCGCTTGTAGTCACAGTAGTGAATTTTCATTTTGCATTATAGTCTCGGAATTTCTTAGCCAACTAATTTTTATTCCTTCTTATAAATGTACCATTATGCTGCCTATTTAGTTCTAACAATAATAACTAACTAACTAGATGGCTTACCGAACCCGAAGGTTCATCACCGAATTAACCAATGCCCTCCACCGGACCCTGTCCTGGGCCAACAAAATCCCGTCTCCTTCAACTCCTATCTCCCATAGATCCCTCCTGACATTATCGTCCCATATACGTCTAGGTCTTCTCAGCGATCTCTTTCCCAACCAATACCCGGTGCACACTCTTGCCCCATCCATGCGCGCTACATGCCCCGCAAATCTCAAGTTCTAACAAGAATATGTACAATAAATAGACGTATTATATAATGTACTTAAACAAAGAAATATTATTTATATCTTCCATATTTCTGTGGAAGTTATGAAATGTATTCTTCTCTGTTAATACGTCTATTACAATTTCTCAGTTGCAATATAAAATAATTAGTCCGAAATGATTATTCTTTTTACAGATGGGTGCCATACACAAAAGCTCCAAATAGATGTGAATTAAACTGCATGCCCAAAGGCGAGAGATTCTACTATCGTCACAAAAGGAAAGTCATTGACGGAACACGGTGCGATGAAGAGAAGCTGGATATCTGCGTTGATGGCCAGTGTTTGGTATGATTTTGAAATCGGAAGTTACCATATCATGAAATAATTTTTGGACTAAATACTGAGACTGGCCCCCTCTTAAAAGAAATGTATGAAAACTTTCATAATATGGAGGGAAAGCCCTGTTCTCCCTTTATCTGTTTCTTTGTTGTCTGTTAAATATTCATCAAATGTGGAAAGCTACATCATTAAACATGATTTTGTTGAAGGAAAAATTGTCAACTCCCAGCGTTTCATGCATTAGTGCCACAGAATTTGCCTCTCAGATTGAGAAGAGGAGGTTGGGGAAGAGACTAAGGAGGTGAACACGATTTTGAGGGGTTGAGAATATTACTGAATGCCAACCAGTTAAAAAGTCATTCATTTTTAAAATTATTGAATTTTTTATCCACTTACCTTTATTACATTTAATCTTCTTCTTCTATGGCTCTCCGGTCCGTATTTGGTCCATGACCTCCTCAATTCTCCTCTTCCATTCGATCCTATTCTCCGCTGCCTTCTGTTAGGTCTGTCTGTCCGAGACTTTGATCGAGGTTTTGAAACATATTCCTTTTACGATGCAAGGTTGCGATGAAAGGTTGTTAGCCTTGCGACCAACCCCCAACCTGGAGGACCAGGGTACCTGTCTTAGTCTGACCTCTCCCCCTCGACCAATCTGGCTAGGGAGGCCCTACCAGTAGCTCTTGGGGTCACTGAGGTACGCGAGCCCCACCACCACAACAAGGTGGCATTTAATCAGTGGTAGACTTTATGTAAATTTGTTTAACAGTACTTGTCTTGAATTTAATAGCATGTATTAAAATGTTGAAACATGTATTTAGTTGTAATCTGTCTGTTTTCAGCCGGTGGGCTGCGACATGATGTTAGGATCCACAGCCAGAGAAGATAAATGCAGGGAATGTGGTGGAGATGGCAGCAGCTGTAACACAGTTCGAGGGCTCCTGGAAATGGACGATGGCGATCTTCAAGTCGGTGAGGATCAAACAAACTTCCATTAAGAATATATGGAACTTTATTACCACAGCTCTTACATGACTTAATGGCTTAGGATTTAGACAGAGGCAACTTTATCCTTTACCTTTTATGCAGTTCTAGAGCTCTTAAATACATGATTGTCTTCTGGGTTGTTGCGCCGTGTAGTCTGGTAGAAATGTACCAATGTTTCAGAGATTCTTCCTGCCTCCATCATCAGGGCAATGAGTTAGTCATCACCCTGATTACAGAAGCACTATACCAGAGGTTCCCAAACTTTTATACCTTGCGCTCCCCTTAAAACATTTCATAAATTTCATGCCCCCCCCCCTCCAGAACAAGTGCAAGCAAACAGATTTGACATAAAATTTAGCTATGAGTATACAGCACTGTAAGACAAATAAACTGCCTCAACCAAGCAAAGAATGTTCAAAACGTTTCTCCATATTTCATTAAAAAAAGTTTTTCATGTAAACAACACCCCCTCCCCCTCAAGGGGGCACGCCCCACATTTTGGGAACTTCTGATATATACAATACTGGTTCAAATGGTGACCTGCATTTTCAGCAACCGTGGTAATAAAGAAAATTGAATATTTTAATTAAAACTGAATATAAGACAACTACAAATTATACACACAAAAATCGTCGAGATTCCAGTAAAAGCTACAGAACATGAACAGAAATAAAAGTGGCCATGAGCCCTATCAATTACATGTATGATTATCAGTTTTAATCTTAAGCTCATACATATTTATTTCAGGTTACAATGATATTCTTCTTA